CTAAAAAGACGGTGTGTCTGCATCAGATCCTTACAGCTTTATGTTTGAAATCATAAGACCGCCCTTGATAAAAAGACCCGCTTTGTGCTGCATTGACTCTAACAGCATCAATTATTTTGTGTGCAAATGCAATTTCAGTTCTCATGTTACTTGAAATGGAAGTAAGCATTATAGTTTCCGTTCTTACCTCTTTTCCCTTTCTTCTTGAGTGCTTATTGCAGCCCCTAAGTAGTAAAGTAATACATGAGCAAGGGCACAGAGATTAGGTGGAAATACCTAAAGCGTCACATGCACCATCACAAAAACATGCAAAATGAATCTATCTATCTATCTATCTATCTATCTATCTATCTATCTATCTATCTATCTATCTATCTATCTATCTATCTATCTATCTAGCTATCTATCTATATATATATATATATATATATATATATATATGTATATATGTATATATGAGGTTAATATTTCAGTCATCACAGCAAAGGTGGCTACTTTAAGGAATCACTGCTTTTCTTTTACCGCAACAGCACAGGATAAATGTTGACAAAGCTGTGAAATTATTTATGATGGTCTTCTTTTTTACATCACAAGAACACAGGGGTGTGCAGACTTTTAAGAGCCACTACATTTTATTTGCAAGTTGATGAAACAAAAAGATAATATTGGAAAGGCAAAAGCATAGGAACTCATACACATCTCTTATTGTTATTCTGTTGTAGCATTTCTTGTGGCCAGTTTACTATCATTTTTATATTTTCTATTTGCATTCACTGATTTTGTACATTTTGTGTGAACTTTAATGTTCTTGTGTATGTTCTGGTCTTCAAAAAAGAGATTTTGTATTGTCTGAAACACGTTGATATGAGCATGAGTACTGCACAGAAAACACAGGGTGATACACATGAAACTCTGGGCAGTGCATTTTTATGGCTTCACACAGTCATTGACTGAGCAGCTTTTGATGCATGCTTGCAACTCTCCACACGCATACCTTATTAAATATGTATTCCAACTTGCACTGAATCTCTCTGGAGACTCGGCCTGTTTAGTTCAAAGCCTGGTCTCATAGATTTTCTTCCTTCCCTTACTCCTTACTTAATGAAATTGTGCTGATAATTATTAGATTATCTGCGCATTTAGCATCTGCTGAAGTGGCAGAGATAAGCAGAATAAATCTACGAAAAGAATGCAAGTATTAGCCTCATGTTTGTACAAGTCAGTACTCCTGTGCACCTTCTGCATTATAAAAAAGGCACCAGCGCTGGTCATGATGGGTTTAACCAGCAAGCTATGAATCTTGTTTGGATCGATATTCTTTTCCCACTCACCCACTAAAACAGACCTGCCTGGGCTTCAGGGCGACAGACTGTACGATATGTTACACTGACTGCTAAAAAAAACCCACAGGGACCTGAAGAAAATTTGCAGAATTGTTTATATGTGAAATAATTTTAAAACAGAAAGATCAATCCCTGTTAGGTTTTTGGGTGCACATTGTGAGGCAGTTTGAATTGTTCTCGTTCACTGTTACATAAAACGATATGGAGGTGTTCTGCTGCAGAGAGAGATCAGTGGCACACCCTGTCAGGATGTCTCTGGGTTCTGTCTCTGGGATTTTAAAAGCCTTATAAAGCTTAACCCACATATCATATAGTTTATTTATTAGTAAACTGAGCTACATAAAAGAATTCACTTCACTATTCTACGGTTCTTTAAGGTCCCTTTGGATGTATCAATAATAAAATCTAACTGTACCCTCCAAGAACCTAAAAAACGGGTTCCTAATTATAGTCACTGTGGTACGAGGATAATAAAATGTCACACTTTTTGACCTGTAAGTAGTAGATTTAAGTAAAAACAAACACGTTATAAAAAAATGAAGTTCATACAGATATATTCAAACAACTAATAACTGTGTGCATATATGTTCTAATGTATTTGCATATGGTTGCATTAGTTAGTTTGTTGTGCAGTTTTGTTAGTGTCCAAAAGCACACACTGGAATACCAATAATGAGTTGGTAATGCATTAGGAAGGATGGATAGTGGATATTATGCAGATGGTATTTGACTTTTGGAGTGTGATGATATTAAGCTACATTGTAATATCAATGTTCATAAACCAGTCAGTCTCATTCATCCAAAAAACCCCTGAATTCTTTCCTTTTCCAGAGAACAATCTCTGCTATATATTAAAAGAAGAACAAGGAGATTTTTATATATGTCTCAGAGTTTAAACTTATTTAGAATCAACTAAAAATAATCAACACCTTAAATATCGATAAAAAGAAAATCAATCAGAGCTAATCAATGAAATAAAAATCTACTTTATAATTTATCTATTAATACATATTTACTACTGACTAATTAACACAAAATGAAAAAAAAACATACAACAAATGAGCAAAACTAACTCTAATCTACTAAAACAGATAAAAAAAAATAATAATAGCCTGGGGAGTAAACGCTCAAACTACGACAGTGAAAACCAATTAAAAATTGAAACTTTTCTAAAAGTTTGTCAGTCTCTTAGAACCCTTAAGAAAAGGGTCTTATGGTCTGGTTTTAATTTCTAATATCAAATTTCCCCCTAACTGGGTGAGGCTGTTGTTGGACCAAAGTGCAGGAAGGAGCGAGGGAGCAGCATGGTGAGTAGATAAATGAATTTAATTAACGAAACAGGTAAACTTACAGATGTAGGCAGGAAATGGGAAAATACAGGCAGGCCTCAGGACATGGAGCGGTGAGTAGAAAGGGTAGTATGCAGGGTAGACATCACGAGGAACCACTGTAGAACAATGACCATAAGGGAGTATATGTACTGAGAGAGAGTGGAGAATGAGACCACCAAAAGGACATAGACAGGGAGGAATCAGGTCTTTAAGGAAATACAAACTAAAACATATGACATAAGAATCCAGGGAAGAAACAAAAACCTAAACACTAGAATGAATCTAATAAACCTGAATGAACTGAAATAAAGCAAGAGAAGAACATGGCAGTGCAGATAAAGTAAACAGAACATAAACTCAGAACCCCAAAGACAGGCACATTATGACACTAACAGAAACCCCCACAATAGAACAGCAAAAATATGTTTTATTGGTACGACAAGGCTGTTTAACTTTTACAGAACCTGGTTTCTGCTCAAACAGCAGTGTTGAGTGGAGTGGCAGATTGTACTGGTCTCTTCTTAGCACTGACCTTTTAATGTCTTGAGGTTACACACTTTGGGTCCTGATTGAATCGAATGACAGAGGAAACTCCCACACGATCTTTACACAAAGATAGTCAAATGCAGCAACCAACCAAATAACGAAATGGTTTAACATATGAACTCTTCTACAAGAAAGGTCTTCATGGGGACTGATCAACCATTCAGAAGAAGGCTTGGTATAACATGAGAGCTACATCATGTTCAACAGCCAATCTCGAATGGATTCTACAGTTTTCTTTTCCAAAGCTCGTTCTCAGTGAGACCTCTCAGTTCCACATATGTCCACAAGCTATCACTTCAGCTAATATAACTAAGGACTGAGACTGTTTTCACCCTGAGCCATTTTAAAAATATAATCATTCTGCTAAATAAGTGGCATGTTCACAATGAAGGTTTGATGCATGACATTACATTTAGGGGTAGTTATTGATCATTTTAAAGCATTCTGGATCTTACACTATAAACAGACTACCAAACTCAGTAAAATCTTTGATTTCTCTTTTCTCAGGAGACAATCATACATCACAGCCATTCAAAGTAATCTGGAAAAAAAATAAGTCTTGTAGATAAAAAGTAAAATTTAATGTAAAGAATTTTCTTGTTGGCTCTGAACATGCCTTACTATTCATTTCTGTCATATTGACGAAACTTTTCTTCAGGATGCCTTCCACATGAATTTTTCTTTTTACTGTTCGGAAATATGAACCCCCTTCATCAAATTCTTTGATAGACCTCACTAGTTCAAGTTTGTAAAGGTTTATGTTTCTGCAAAGTTTAGCTTCTCCCAGTGCTTTCAAAATGTTACGATAAAAGTCTCCGGGAGACCCAGTAACTGTCTTAATACATCCGATTAAGACAAAATGTACGCCAAATGTTGCTTCATCGCACTAAAAGCACCTGAATAAAACATGTGCAGTTCAACAAAAAACTTTGTTAATTGCATTGAAACATTTTTTGTTTGTTTCTCTGAGGCAACTAAAATTCTTAATCTAACCAGGTGTTTGCTTTAAGCCCCATTCAGCTTTGATCCAGTGTTTGATTGGTCAGACCTTTGCCTTTGTTTTACTGCTTAATTCATTAAGCTATGACCGATTTTCGGTCATGGTGTTTGACAGCGAGGATGAAAACTTTAAAGGGAACGCAACCAAAATGTGGTTTGGTGTTTTAGGTCAACATCATGGCATAGACAGTTATCTATTAGCTTCTTTATTGTCCAAACAATATTAAACCCAGCTTTGGAAACATTGTCGCATTAAAGGAAAAAACACATCTGGTAGGCTAATATTGCATTTGCCAAGCTTGACTTGCTACATATAGAATTTTACATTCTTGAATTTAGGCAGCAATAAATATTTCCATTGAATCTAGTGTTATTCTCTAAAGGTTGCCAATTTTGAGTGAATAGCTGTTGTACAATAATGGACAATACATAAAAATTTATAATTTTATTTTTTTTCGCCTGAATTATAGAGGACCATCCTCACCTCCCCTTAAATTAGGTAATCAGTCAGTCAGTCATTTTCTACCGCTTATTCCATAGTGGGTCGCGGGGGAGCTGGTGCCTATCTCCAGCAGTCTATGGGCGAGAGGCGGGGTTCACCCTGGACAGGTCGCCAGTCCATCGCAGGGAAACACACAAACAACCATGCACACACTCATTCATACACCTAAGGGCAATTTAGAGAGACCAATTAACCTAACAGGCATGTCTTTGGACTGTGGGAGGAAGCCGGAGTACCCGGTGAGAACCCACACATGCACGGGGAGAACATGCAAACTCCATGCAGAAAGACCCCCAGCCGGGAATCGAACCCAGGACCTTCTTACCTTCTTGCTGCAAGGCAACAGTGCTACCAACTGTGCCACCGTGCAGCCCAAATTAGGTAATCACTTCCTATTAAAAGCAGCTATGCATTACAACATGATTCCAACACAGAGAAATGCTATTACTGTAGACTGGGAACAAATTGAATTTTTCTGTATTTCTCCATCTTTGGCTGTATGTTTAGAGTAAAAAAATCACATTATCTTCCAATCTTTCAGCCTTCCATTTCTACTGATTGAGACTGTATTGATTTTTGGATCAAGTACTCTTTGCTGGCCAATAAGGTGTGTGATTCACTTGGGGGGAGGACCATAATTCTTTGTGACACACAGCAACACCCAAAGGGCTCCAAAGTGTCTGGCTCACCAGTGGTGTTAAGCAAAGAAGTGCGTCACATTGTGTCATTAATGAGCAGATTTACAGAGTTACTTGCTGACTCTAAGGGGATAAATTAGCAGTTTTTAGACCTGTGGGACTTACGAAAAAAATCTTTTTACAAAGTTTCAGAGGCTTGGTAGAGAACAGTAAAAATATTTATAGGTCAGCTAAAATTTTTGTACACACCTATTTAGGTTTTTATGATTCATTTATCCTGCTAATATACTGAAATGTTTTTAGATGACGGCGATGGTGTCAGTAGTGCAAGTCTAAAACTTAAGTTAACTTGGGTAAATAACTGCTGCTGTAACCACTTAGCAATGTACTCTTCCTCTTCCCTCAAAGGTTAATCTTTTATGCCATTTACCTCCCTTTTTTTCTTTATTTACACCCACTTTTCCCCCGCTCAGTTGCAGCTCAGGGACATATCTCATCCCCATGGATTCTCTGAGTAGCAGTGGCTCTGCTTGAATGAGAGTGCAGATGCTGGTTGTTCCCACAAGCATATGTATGCTTTTGGACTGCCCTTACGCATCGGGACACAGATTGCTGCATGCAGCACCTTGTGAGCAGCATCACAAATCAGTCGTCCGAGCAGCGTGCACTGATGGTGCGGAGGGAAGGGGTGGGAGATGAAAGGAGAGGTGAAAAGAAGGGGAGGGGGATCCTTTCAGCGAAAGAGACAGAAAGAGTGGAGAGAGGGAGAGCAGGAGGGGATGGAGAGAAACAGCGGTGGGGGTAGTTACAGAGCGAGTGACTGCGCGTGTGTGTGTGTGGGTATGCATTCATGCGTATGTGTGTGTGTATGCAGGAGAACAAGTATTGCTGCAGTGGAAACAGTGCGAAGAGGACTGCAGTTTCTTGTGCTGATGGGAGAGCGGTTGAGGCACATCATTAAGACACTCTAATTTTAACCCCAAGTGCCTGTTTGGTGAATTGGTTTGCCCGTTGTGGAGAACAGGATTACGGAATTGCAGTAGTGCTGGTAAGGGTGTATTTAGACTCTGTTCTTGGGATTGCAGGAACACTACGTCTGAGGAATCTGCAATAGGTTGGTGGTTATTGTAGTGTTTTTGTACCGGCAACAATAAAGTTAGTATTTATCTCATTCTTGTATGTTGGGTGTACCATAGTACAGCTGTATATTACTTTCTGTATTATGCTGTTCCAAACTTAATTCCAAGATAAATTTAGATTCCTTTCTTTTAAATACTTAGTTATTTGGGTCCCGATCAGTACTATAGAATCAAGTTATTAATCATGTCCTCCTTAAGAGAGTGGCTTTTGTATGGATTTTAGATGAGTTGTGGTTTTTAACACTGATACTCAATTATTTTCAATGATCATTCCTCATTTAGCTTCTGCTGCTAGGTGTACTTCTCTCCTGGAGAGTGTCCAGGAGGCTGCCATGCCGACAGGCGCTCTGCTTACCTTTTTAGCCTCACTGGCATCTTAAACAATGACAAAGAGCCAGGAGGAGCCAGAAAGCAGCATGCTACTCTTATAAATTCCCAGGACAGCGGTGTTGTATCTGTAACGTAACAAAACAGAAGCCACCCCCCTTTGGTCTATACTTTGAAGACTGAGTAATTCAACACAAAAAGGGGCTGACAGTTGTGCTGAGGAGTACAGAGAGAGGGGTGGGGATTTCATAAAGTGCTGCAGGATGCTCTTTTTTTCTGCTGTCTCTCATGGGACATTTAGCTCAGGCAGCACCGAGGTGACTGTACCAAGGACAAAATCCTATCTTTGGGCTGCTTGCACTTCGTACTGGTGGCTGCTGACTCTTATGCTTCTGGCTTGGACCTATCATTAGGATCATAATTTCTAAGATGTTAATTTTCTCCAAATACCTTATGACAAACCTACTATAAAAATGTTATGGAAAGTGTGGGAGGAATGCTATCATTTCTAAAAAACATATTCTTTAGATTCCATTACTGTACACATATTTCTCTGACTTCGCATGTCCTCGTTTAACCTGAAATGAAATCTGGGTGTTCTCACTCAGAGTTGAGAGTTGCTTATGTCTATCTCCAATGACAAATTGCTGAGAGGCAGGTTACAAGACAAACAACCAGTCCCACACACGCATACCCAGGGCACATTAGAATTTTCAGTTACCTCCATAAACACATTTCGTGGCGGAAATGAGAATACCCAGAGAAACCCCATACAGGTTCAAGGAGAACATGCAAACTGCATGCAGAGAGCCATTGGCTGAAATCTAAACCCAAGACCTTGCTGCAAGCCAACTGTCATAACTGTAACATGTAGACCGTCATAAAAAGCATTACAGAAACACTAGGGCCCAAGATGTCATTGCAAAACCTGTTTTACATCAATCATTCATAATATTATGACTCCCTGCTTAACTGTGTTTTCGTTCCCCTTTGGCTGCCAAGACAGCTGGATTGGATTTGTTTAAGCAAATCTCAAAGCTGCTCGATGGACCTGAGATCCAGGAAATTTGGATGACAAGTTAACACCTGAAACATATTCTCCTCAAACCATTGCTGAAGCATTTTTGCCTTGTGGCAGGTGTACTATCCTGCTGAGAAAGGCCACAGCTGCGAGGGGATAGTGTTTCCCTAAAAGGATATAGATGGTCAGCAATAATGCTTATGTAGGGGGAAATTTCTAAAATTTATATCCCATGGACCCCAAGGACAAAATTTTTTTCCCCAAGGGGAATCCTAAAGCATCAATAAATTTTTTGCACCCTCGTCCCCCCCCTTTTTCCCTTCCCTAGCTAAGTTAGGCAAGAGGTCACCCCCATGATGTGAAAGAAAATGTAATTCCTTAAACCAGAAAAACCCTCTCCCCCATTTTTTTGGGGCCTTTGTTTCCCTTTACCCATTTTTTGGGGGTATCGCCATGGGAGGGGCCAACAAAAAACCCTTGACCGGGCCCCCTGCGGCCCAAACCCACCCCCAAACATCCCCAAGAAATTTACTTTAAAATTCCTATTTTAGATGGGACCCCAAAAGGCTGGCTTTTCACTCTCCTTTCCTTTTTCAGTGAGCCTCCTCTCCCCATAAACTCTGTCCCCCCTTTTCATTTTTGGTTCCCCCCCTTGGCCCACTTTTTAATAATGATCACTGCAGCTTAGGAACAGCCTACATGAGCTGCAGTTTTGGTGATTGCCATTTTTGTCTAGCCCATTAAATTTACTCTTGGAAAATTTTGTTCATTTTCTTGGGACTTCCCTTTTTTTTTCCTGCCAAAACCCCACATCATCTGTAAAGCTAAAGTTCACTACGGGCCCTTATATACCCCCCCAAAATGTTTAAAAAACCCCCCTGGGATATACAGGGGTTGGCCCAATGAAACGAAACACCGGGTTTTTTAGCCACAAAAATTTTTATTACATGGTGTAGGGCCCCCTTTTTTGCTGCCAATACAGCTTTGATTTGCCCGGGGAAAAGGGACATATACAAGCCCTGGGGGTCAAAAGGGTTTTTAAGCCTTTCCCTTTTTTTCGGGATAGGGGACCAGGTAACTGGGGGAAAACACTGGTGGGGAAAAACGTTTCCTGACTTTCCAAAAAACCCCCAAAAGTGCCTCAATAATATTTAGATCGGGTGACTTGCGGCCATGGGAGATGTTCACCTTCATTTTTCCTTTTAAATTAAAACCCAATTTTTCACCAGTTTTTTGGCTGGGTGTTTTGGGTGCATTGTCATCCTTTTTCCACGGCACCCCCTTTCAGGATACAATGTTTGAACCAGGGTTATGCACAGGTCGTCAAGAAGGGTTTTCGGTACCTTGGCAGTGACACCCCCATTGGGCAAAAGGGTTTTGGCCCAAAGGGAATCCATGATATGGCACCCCAAAAACCATCACGATCCACCCCCATGCTTCACTCGGGGCTTTGAAACAGTCTGGGTGGTACGCTTTTTTTGGGCTTCTCCACACCGTAACTCCCCCGGTTTGTGGGGAAAAAAGAAAAGGGTGGACTCAACCAGAGAACAAACATGTTTCACTTTGTCCCACCCCAAAGTTTTGCTTTCCCTTTGCACCATTGAACCCGACGTTTGGTTTTTGGTTAAAAGGAAACCAAAGGTTTGGCTATAGCACCCGGGCCCGTGTATTTTTAAACCCTGTGGGCCCCCGACGGACATTTTCTGGGGGAAAAAGGAGAGTTGGGGTTTGCAATTTATTCTGCTGTGTTTTGGGCATTTGGGGTTTTATTTTTTTTGGATACAACCCGGGGTTTAGCACCCGAACCCCCTTTTGCCCAGTTTCCTTTTTGCGTCCCAGTTAATCCTGTTGGATGTGGTTCTCCTTCTTGGTGGTAGGCTGACATTCCCGGGGATACCTTTGGGCTCTTGTACATCCCCAAAAACCGGGTGTCCTTTGGGCAAGATGCGCCAGCAAGACGTGGCACCAACAATTTGTCCCCCTTTTTAACTCTGGTATTCACCCAAAGTTGTGGGCATTTCAATATTTTAGCAAAACTGTGGGTCCCTTTCCCTGCAATTGAAACCCTTTACACTCTGGCCCCTTCTGGTGCCCAAGTGCAATCTGAAGGGCTGGCTACCAGGCTGGTCCCAATTTTTGCCCTGAAAAAAACCCCACTAAAATGACAGGTGTTTCAGTTTCATTGTCCAACCCCTGTATATTTCACCTGTCAGTCGTAACATTATCCTTGATTAGTGTATACTAG